TATCTATCTATCTATCTATCTATCTATCTACCTACCTACCTACCTACCTATCTACCTATCTACCTATCTATTTTTACCTACTGGCACTTGGCCTTGAGCTCTATCCATTTCATTTTTCTTTCATTAATTAATTTTTTTCATTTATTTTATTTTACACCCCATTTGAAGTTTCCCCTCCCTCCTGTCTCCCTGTTCCTCCATCCCTGCTCCCTCCCCCCCCAACTTCTCCTCTGTCTCTATTCAGAAAGGGACAGGCCCCCCCATGGGCATCAACAAAACATTATTCATTCCTTCTCAGGCTCCAGAAGCTCTAACTTTAGTTCCATACATATTAAACTCAGTCCCCCTTAGTTCCAGGCTTTCCCCCCAAATAGTCCTCCTCTCACCCTAGACCTCTCATAAGAAGGCTTAGTTCCCATCTCTGTTCCCTACGACCCCATAGGATTCCAGGAGTCATGTGGGTCATGGTCCCCTCACTAAGACAAAGAAGTGCTTTCATCTCCCTGCTCCCTGTGGAATGTTCACTGGCTCTATTAACTCACAGTTCATCTGACCACACAAGTCCAGTCCACATTAACTTTTTAAAATTTTATTTATCATTTTTAATGGATAAATAATTGTGTTACATTTTGTTTTTAACCCCCCCCCCTTTTTTGGTTTTCAAGACAGGGTTTCTCTGTATAGCTTTGTGCCTTTCCAGGAACTCACTCTGTAGCCCAGGTGGGCCTTGAACTCACAGAGATCTGCCTGCCTCTGCTCCCAAGTGCTGGAATTAAAGGTGTGTACCACCACTGCCCAGCAGTTTTTACTTTGTATATTACATTTGTAGAGGACACTGTGATGTTTTATATGCACACAGTAGAGAATGATTGAACCAGAGTAACATCCATCATACCTCACTTACTTATATGGAAAGATAGCTGACAGATTTTCTCATTTTAATGTTAGGAATTCTGATGACTCCTGACACCCCATAGTGGTTTTCCTTTGCGTTTCCTTGCTGAGGAATGAGGTAGGATACATTTCCATTTACTTATTGGTCACCTGATGATCTCTGACTTGCATCACCTCTGAGTCTCTGTTGACTTTGGGGATTTCTGATGCCTCTGTGAGTCTGCCAATCGGTGTAAATGAAGTACTGCCCCATCCTGCTCTTCACCTTTGCTCTTTTTCTTCATCAACAGACTGTATTCTGATGAAGGCAAATGACTTTTCTCATTCAGTGTGGCCTGTGCACTAAGAAATCACTGCTTAATCCAAGATGGCAAGAGTCATTCCTTATGCCATCTCTGTAAAGTTCTCATGGAACCCACAGGAGGTTTTCCTGGAATGGCTCATGACAGCAACACTAATGGGTGACCACAAGAACAGTAAGAGGCAATATTTAGGGAGTTGACAGTCTCCCGAGACAGTCCCAAGGAGTTTACATGGACCATTTAATTTCCACAGTGATTATCCTTATGTACAGGGAATGTACAGAACAGACATTTTACAAACACAGTCTTGATTTATGGGAGTTTTAGCTTTAGTTTTCAACTTTATGATGGCACAAAAGCTATCCAGACCTTAGTCTTTTCAAATCATAATAGTGGGAAAGTGTGTCCACACAACTACTGATTTTTCAACTTTGCGATGGTGTGAAAGCATATTCAATGCAAATACTGATTTTTTTCAGTTTTGCAAAAGCATGCCTGGTACAATCACTGATGTTGTCAATTCTATGAAAGCACAACCAATAAGCAACTGTTTTTTTCAGCTTTACAATGGCATGATAGTATGCTAAATATAACTGCTTTTTCCACTTTATGACAGTGCAAAAATGAAGCCATAGGACCACTTGATTTTTCAACTCTACAATGGCATGAAAATGTATTCAATATAACTACTCATTTTTCAACTTTGTAAAAGTGTACTCAACACAACCACTCATTTTTGAATTTCAAGATGTTGTGAAGATATACCTATATAACCATAGATTCTTCAACATCACAATGATGTGAAAACATACCCAATACACCACTGAGTTTCACTTTTAACAAATATTCCAAAATTTTTTTTTTGAGACAGGGTCATGCTATGTAGGCTAGTCTGGAATCTGGTATGTTGCTCAGGCTAGCCTTGAACTTTCAATCTTCCCATCTCAGCCTCTTGAGATTACAGGCATGTGCTACCATACCTGGCTACTAGTCAAGAAATTATGGGAGATACTCAGTATTTTATTACTGAATAGACTTTGTGTTAGACGCTTTTGCCCAGTGTAAGATAAAGGACATGATCTGAGCACATTTGAGACAGGCTGGGTTAAGCTGTGGTGTTTGGCTGGTAAAGTGTCTTAAGTGCATTTTCAATTGATCTCCTTCAGTGTATGATGGATTTATCAGGGGTAAGGAGCAGCTTATGAGTGTCTCACAGAGAGCAAAGAGGTGGAATGGTGATGCTAGCTGGTACAGTATATGCCAAGACTAAAGGCTTTGCCACAAATGTCACATGAGCAGGGTTGCCCCCTAGAATGAACCTGAAATGTAATAAAAGGTAGAATGGTATTGGTTGGCTTTTGTGGGTTTACTCAACCAATTTATTCAGTAAAAACACCAATATGGAAAGAATATGATCATTAAGAAAAGTGACTTTTACACTCTCTCAAATTCACCTCTAGTATGCCTTCTGATATTCTACAAATAGGCAAGTGACCACGAAGACTTTCTTAAGATAAATTAATCACCAAGGAAAGAATGAATGAAGGCGAGAGGCCTTGGTTTGCTCTTTATAGTCAATGTTTCCAATGTGTGTGAGTCTTCTGATGTTCTTTGACATGGTTTATATTATTGTAAATCTTTCCACACTCTTTACACAGTTTTTCCATGTGAGTTTTCTCATACTGTTTAAGCTGGTAGCCGTAACTAAAGGCCTTCCCACATCCCTTACATTTGTGGGGTTTCTCTCCTGTGTGAATTCTCTCATGTTTAAGAAGGTTTGATCCATGTATAAAGGTCTTCCCACACTCCTTATATTTATAAGGTGTTTCACCAGTGTGAATTCTCTCATGTTGGGTGAGGTGATAGCCATAATTAAAGCCCTTACCACATTCTGTACATTTATAGGGCTTCTCACCTGAATGAATTCTTTCATGTTTAATAAGGCTTGAAACCCAGCGAAAGGCCCTCCTACATTCCTTACACTCATGCAGTTTCTCCCCAGTGTGAATCTTCTGGTGCTGAGTGAGGTAATTGGCTCTAGTGAAGGACTTCCCACACTCTTGGCATTCAAAGGGTTTCTCACCTGTGTGGATTCTCTTATGCTGAATGAGGCTGGAACTACAAATAAAGACCTTCTCACAGTCTTTACATTCATAGGGCTTATCACCACTGTGAATTCTCTTGTGCTGCATACATTTATAGAGATGACTAAAAGTCTTCCCACATTCTTTACACTCACAGTCTTTCTCCCCAGTATGAAGCCCTTGATGCCGAGTGAGTTTGTAGCCATATCTAAAGGTTTCCCCACAGTTTTTACATAAGTATGGTTTTTCACCAGTGTGAATTCTCCTATGAACAACAAGGCTCGAACTCCAGTGAAAGGCTTTTCCACAGTTGTTACATTCATAAGGCTTCTCTCCAGTGTGAATTTTCTGGTGTTGAGTAAGCTGATTCCACCAGTGGAAGGCTTTCTTATAGTCTTTATACTCATAGGGCTTCTTGCCAGTGTGAATTTTCTGATGCTGTCTAAGATGATACCTGCGACTAAAGGCTTTCCCACATTCCTGACCTAAGAAGGAGCTCTCCTTTTGAGGTCTCACTTATGTTGTAGGTGTGCTTTTGAAGGGTTCACAACACGCCCCCATGGTCGCATATACCCGGCAGACACTTCCGCCTAGCCAATTCCAGGTCAGGATAGGCATTTCCGGGTCAGGATGTCTCTCGTAACCAGGATACCCGGCGGACCTAGACACCTCTGCCTAGCCAGTTCCAGGTCAAGATAGCCATTTCCAGGTCAAGGCGTCTCGCGTAACCAGGATCCGTGACGTTTCATGGCCACGTAAGCGCGCAACGTGGCCATGTGATCTACGCACACGAGTGGAGTAGTAATGTGACCTGGCCACGCCCAGCCAGTTTAAAAACTGAGCGCCATGTTCCCGGTTCCTTCTTCTTCTCCATGCACATGTCTCTCCCACAGGCCTGCGCACTCTCTATCCCTTTATCTCTAATAAACTCTTATAAGCGGATTCTGTCGTGTTTCGTGACACTTCCTTGCAGGGTAAGAGCACAACGCGGCTAAATAACTAACAGGTTTCTCTCTCAGTGGTTGCTTTTCTAGTCCTGTGTGTTACATCATTGACATTTTCCTCTTCAGAGCCCTGCGGTTGCTCACACTCACCTTCACCAATCCCGTCAGGGTGAGGAGATATACTTTTGTCACTTGGATTCCTTTTGCAAGAGCTCAGTCCATAAATGCTTCTTCTAATAGCTAAAATGTTCGCCCCTTTTGATAATTTCCCATCTGGAAGAAAAATGACATTAAGAAAAAATGTTTATTTTATTTTACGTGTATGCATATTTTGACTGCATTTCTGTATGTTCACTACATTCATGCCTGCTGTCAGTGGGGGTCAGAAGAAGGCATTGATCCCTTAGAACTGGAGTTACAGATGGTTGTGAGCCATGATGAGAGTGCTGGGAACCAAACCAGGGTCTTCTGTAAGAAGAGCAAGTGCTCTGAACTGTTGGGCTATTTCTCCAGCCCTCATTTGTTTCTTTGAAAGGGAAAATCAGAAGCTAAAACTAACCACGATTCAAAAGCTTCCCCAGCAGCATTGATGTTCTCGGGCCACAGCTTGTTAGTGAGAGAACACAATGGGCAGTCGTGCTAAAGCCAAATGGGAAAGGATGCTGACTGCTGCTCTAGAGATTCTCTGTTAAGAGGGCAGAAATGTCTTAAAAGCAAACACGATACAATGTATGCTGTAGGTGTGAGATGACATGCTT